CGGGATTTGCGTCAAGGCAAAGCATAGAAAGTGGTGGGCCAGCTCTTGTACTTTGGCTAAGTACTTGGCCATGTGGGGTTCATTGACCTCATACTCGCCATTCACTTGGTTCACCACCAATTGGGAGTCATTGAAGACTTCAATGTGTTAGGCATCGAGGTCTTTGGCAAATTGCAATCTAGTGAGCAGGGCCTCGTACTTAGCTTCATTTTTGGAGGTCAAGAAGTCAAATCTCAATGCGTACTCCACTTCATTATGATCCGGGGTGAGGAGTATGAGGCCTACTCCACTCCCCTTAGCATTGGAAGATCCATCTACAAACAATTTCCATGTCAGTCGGGTACCTCATCATCTACGGGAGCCGGGGCCGATGGCTCTACTGAAGGTGCACTCCACCAAGAAATCCATCAAGGCCTATGCTTTGATCGCAGGCCTCAGTTGGTATTACAGGTCGAATTCAAACAACTCAATAGCCCATTTGGTCAACCGACCCGAGGCCTCAGGTTTGGAGATGACAGACTTGAGGGGTTGGCTAGTCAAGACTATGATGTTGTGGGCTTGAAAATGTGGCCTAAGTTTCCTAGTCAAGATCACCAGGGCGAAGGCTAACTTCTCCGCCTCGAGATAGCATGCCACGGTGTCGTAGAGGACCTTGTTGACATAGCAGATTAGCCTCTGCACTCCATCTTCTTCTCTCGCCAAGATAGAATTGATGGCCTCGTCCCCGGTCGAGAGGTATAGGTACAACATGTCTCTTGGAAGCGAATGAGTGAGTAGAGGGGGCAAGGCAAGGTAAGACTTTAGCTCGTCAAAGACTCGTTGGCATTCTTTGGTCCATTGGAAGTCCTTCAGTTTCTTGATGGCTCGGAAGAAGGGTAAGCAGTGGTTGGCCGACTTCGACATAAATCGGTTGAGGGCAGCCACTCGGCCAGTAAGTCTCTGAGTTTCTTTGATCAATCGAGGTGGTGCCATGTAAAGGATAGCCTGAATCTTCTCTGGGTTAGCCTCGATACCCCACTGCGTGACAACGAAGCCCAAGAATTTGCCCGAGGTAACGCCAAAAGCACACTTGCTAGGATTAAGCTTCATGTTATACTTCCGCAAAGTGGCAAAGGTCTCAGTTAGGTACCAAGTAGGGTAGTGTACCTCTTGGATGAAACCGGCGTCAAGTAGCTTGTCAACCTTCTCTCTGATGGATTTCCAATGCTCAAGTACAAAGTTCCTCTTTTTCTCCCGAATTGGCCTACAGCTCTGGTCCATGCTCAGCATGTGAGTAATGACCAAATGGTCTATTCTGGGCATGTCAGTGGCAGACCAAACAAAGACGTCGACATTAGTTTTGAGGAAGCTTACCAATTCTAAAAGGGTGTCTGGAGGGAAGTTGGACCCGATGCACACTGTCTTTGTGGGCTCATCCTCGTCTAGGGGAACTGAGACGAGGTCCTCTGCTGGTTGGCTCATCCTTGAGGTTAAGCCCCTCCAACAACAATGCTTCCTTGTTCTTGCCCTTCAGTGCTGCCACATAGCACTACTAGGCTGTTTGCTTGTCCTCACGAACGATTCCAACACCATGCTCAGTGGGGAACTTGAGGGTGAGGTGGTAAGAGGAGATGGCTGCCTTGAGTGCATAAATAGTCGGCTAGCCTATGATGGCATTATAGGGGGAGTTGATCTTAACGACTAGGAGCTCGATCATCCTCATAACCTATCAAGGCTCCATTCCTACCGTGATTGGTAGGGTGATTCTTCCCTCCAATTTGATGACGTTCCCAGAGAAGCCGACGAGTGGCACGTCGGCCGATTGTATCCGTTTTGTAGTCAGCTTCATCTTCTCAAATGTATGATGGAAGAGGATGTCTTTCGATGATCCGTTGTCGATGAGGATCCTCTTTACCATGAAGTTGGCGATGGTCATCGTCACCACCAATGCATCGTCATGGGGTATTGAGACCCCTTCAAGTCGTCATTTGAAAAGGAGATGACCTCGTCCTTCTTTGGCTTCTTGGGAGATGGATGGTGAGTAGCCTAGCGTAGGCCTTTTAGGCCGAGGCCATGCCCCCCACTATGATGTCGATGACACCAACTAGGTTGTTGTGCCACTACTGCTACTGCTTTGAGGAAGAGGCGCTAGCGTCGCCCCCCACGTACTTCTTCAAGTGACCATGATGGATGAGGGACTTGATCTCATTCTTCAGGTGATAATAGTCCTCGGTGTCGTGGCTGATGCCACAGTGGTACTTGTATTACTTTTTTTGGATTACCCCTCTTGGGGTTCCTCTTCATTTTCTCGGGCCACTTCATGTACTCTCCTTCCCTACTTGCATGAGGATTTGCGTTCGGGTGGAGTTAAGTAGCATGTACTTGTTGTAAGTTAAGGCCGGCAGCTTCTTGTTGCCATCTTTGTTGTCGTTGTTGCCGTGGCTATCTCCATTCTTCCTCTTCTTCTCTGAGCCCCCACGACTAGGGTCAGTCTCGCCTTTTTGGTGCTCACTGGTCAAGGCCTCCTCGGTAGCGATGTACTTTTATGCCTTCTTTAAAAATTTTGCCTTGGTTTTGGACTGTGTCTTGGCAACGGAGCACTTATGGGGCCCATGCAGGAGGCTGTTGATTGTTGCATGCATGGAGACCGTGGGGTTGAGGTCTCGGATCTCGAACTCTTCTTTCTTGAAGCGGTCGATGTAGGACCGCAGACTCTCGCCACACTTTTGCCGAATAAACATGAGTGAGACAACGCTCTTCTAACACCGTCAGCTATTGACAAAGTGGGAGAGGAAAAGATCGGCGAACTGCTCTCACGAGCTGATGGAGCAAGGTGGGAGCCCAAAGAACCATTGACGGGCTGCCCCCTTAAAAGTCGCCTAGAAAGCCCGGTACATCAAGGCATCGAAATATCCATAGTGGAGCATGAACGCTTGGAAGCATTCTAGGTGGTCATCCGGATCAGTGGTTCCATCGTACATCTCCAGTGAGGGGGCTTTGAAGTGGGGCGGGAGGGGCACCGAGGTGATGAAGCCAATGAAAGTGTCGATTTTGTTGGACGAAGGGTTCTAGCTTGCAGAAGCATCACCTCGACTCTCCTTGACCTACACCTATAGGTCGACAATCCTTTGGTCAATGGGAGACTGGGTTCATCCTAGTCCTCCCGGACGCAGAACTAGTCACCCTAGTTCCCAGAGAATTCTGATTCCTTCTAGCCCGTCGGTCGTTGAGGAGTTCTCGAAGATCTGATACATGAGGGAGAAGCATGGTGTCGGCTCCAACTCTCGGGGGAGGACTATAGTTCCCCGAGCACCTGCCTTCGTCCCAGGGGCTTTCCACTCGATATTGCCTATTGTGGTTTCGATGGTTATTACGAACCCTATTGGATCTCCTCCTCGTCGACTATGAAGGAGGGAGATCTTCGACGGCTTGCTAGCGCGTTGGCTGCTGCTATTGGACACTAAGGGGTCGACCCTGTTGGGTCTGATGGGGCGCTGAACCAGTGGAGGTTGGGAAGAGTGTCCACTATGGTGCCCCAAGCTCCCAACGGAGCAGCTACCCTATGGGCGGCCTCCTGCTAGTCGCCCCACCTCGTCCAGTCTCTACGTGATGTTGTCAAGCCGGTCAAGGACCATCTAGAATTGGTCCATGGTAACAAAGTTCTGAGCATTTTGAGTGTTGCCCTGGTTATCAGCCATTACATTAGAAGCTTAGTAGTTGATTTTTAAAGTAAGTGTTCAGTTGAGAGAAGTCTTCGCAGTCATTCCCACAGAAAGCGCCAATTGTTGCTACCAAGGATGGGCGAAGGGCAACAATGCAATTATGCTTCTAAGACAAGGGCTTGCTGATGTGTCCGAGGGCTAATAGAGCCCAGGGCCTATAAGTCCGACCTGTAGAGGGAGAAGCACGTTAGAGGCCTTGGGTATTATCCCAAGGGCGGAGACTCCGACGGTCAAGTTAGTAAATGTGTACTAAGGGGTCAGACGAGAACTAAGTAGAATAGCTCAAACGAGGTCACAAGGAAGCTAAAGAGCTTAAAGCAGTAAATGCCAAGATAGCTTACCTAGGGAGTGACGCCACTTATTTATACTTGAACTTGACTGGAATTAGTATGAGCGGATGGCCAGGATGCGATCTGGCTTGTGCCATGTGTCTTTTTATCTTGGACCTGCCATGTGCATGGGCATGCCATGTGTGCCTACATCACTAATATAACGTAGGATTGGAATTAGTTGATGAAGAACGTATGAGTCCAATTGCATCAAATTCATTTCAAATTTGAAGCCCACACTTCTAGGGATGCTGCCAATCGCGAGAACCATAAGAGTATTTATTCGGTGTTCATGGATGGGTCGTGGTCCAGTAACCGGTCCAGCAACCGCTTTTTAGTGATAGCTGGTGGTAGTGGTAGTAGTGATAGTGGTAGGCATGGTTTTTAAAATCGGGCTGGACCGAATGGTCAAACTGGAAAAATCGGGAATTAGTCAAATAACTGGTTCTGTTTTATCTCAAAATCGTTATTTTGCCAAAAACCGTTGATTTAGTAAATAAATCGTTGACCCGAGAGTTCGAACTGTCCAGCGGTTTACCCACTTTTTTTAATTTTTTATTTTTTATCAGAATGGGCCGTCCGTTCAATTTGAATGATCGGGCTGTTCGACCTAGAAACCGGACCCTGACCGGTTTGTTCTCCTGTTCGATTTTAAAAACCTTGGTTGTAGGTACGCATAAAGGAGCACTCAGCACTGCACTGGAGCAATTACATATTAACATAACTAACCTTTGCTCGCTGGATCAGAACTCAGAAGTCAGAAAGGAGCTTCCAGTAGAAGGACAAAGAGTGGTATGGACTATGGGCTATGGGCCGTCATCCAAGTGGCAGCAGGAAAGTACCCCTGAATCAAACAACAAGAAGGAAATCACCATTATTGGACCACAGAAAAGGCAATTCCAAGATCCAAACCACAAAGGGATACTAAGTCCAAATTAGAGGCCGGAAGCCCAGACAGCCAGACGGTCCGGCCAGACCCATTCTCTCTTATATTGTTGGTGTTACGGTGTTAATGGAATATGGATCAATCAATAACGATAATACAGGATAGGATAGCAACCGGATGAAGACCCTGAAGACTAGCGCCTGGGTTGGGACTTGTGAGAACGGTGGAAGAAAACACCCATTCCAATTCCCAACCCAAGGGCCAAGGGGAAGGAGACAGCAGCAGATCCTGAGGAGGCGCAAAAAACATAACCGACTCTTTTTGTCTCTTTCAGCCACATGGACATATCCCACAAGTTCTCAACTTCGATGCGTGGTGGTAGTTGCAGAGCTGAGACCATGACGACCATCACGTGTTTTGCTCTTCAGTTAAGCAGGTGAGGCCAGGCCATCATCGCTATTATTCACTCCATCACTCGTTCAGGTTCAGTACTCCCGTCCATCCAACACTATCACAACCACCTGATGCAGATGCAGATGCAGATGCAGCAGCGCCTCTTGCCTCCTCCTGGGGTCCACTGCTCATCGAGGTTTCAATTTCATATTCACTTCTGCAATTTGATGTTACTTGTTAACCAACCAAGGCAATAACGCAGCAAGGACCAGGGACGACAGTGTGGTTGCGGGCTTCTTGGCCCCTCCAGTTCTCCTCTGTAAGACTGTAATCTCTCCTCATCTGGTCTGAATCAATGGCAGTTTTTGCTTCTCTGACTTTAGTAACTTTGATATTGCCGTATGACCTTTTCTTTTTCTAATCCTGCTTTCTTCTCTACACCGGTAGCAATAGATTAGAATCCAAAGGCCAATATTGATAAAAATCAGGGAAAGAAGAAGCATTGTACTGTACAGAACCCACGTTGATGGTAACTTCAGTCTTCATACAAGGAATCTAATCCTATCTTATCAGTCGCTTGAATTGTGTGGTGTGGCCGTGTGGGTCCATTCATCATCTGTCATTGACAAAAACAGATGAATAAAACTGAACCAGTCATTCGTTCCAGTTGACGCTTCAGTGGGCACTACTGCTGCCCCCCTCCTCCGTCTCTGCCACTGACCGGAGGCGGAAACAAACTCTCATTATTGACCTCCAAAATTGCGGAAGAAGACGTTAACGGCCATTATTTTTGCAACTCGTAAATGCTGCAATATTGTACTACGACTTCATTGAAATGACTCCTTCACTTTCACTGTCCTACTCCTACCCACGTTGTATTCACATCCTCCTCTTATCCCCACCTTTCGATCCCCTCTCGAAAGCAATGGCCACCACTGCCCTCATGCTATACCCTGCCACTTCTTCCTCGTATGCGTACCGGAAACTGTTTCATTCTTCGCATATCCACTGCTGTGAGGACACTGTCGGACGTCCCCGAAAGCCCCAACTCGCTTCCCTTAATGGGCTGGCCGGTTTCCCAGAGAAGAATGCTCTTCTCACCCCAACATCCGCACTGCCGCCTCGCCCTCGGCGTATCATTTTGGTCCGCCATGGCCAGAGCGAAGGGAACGTCGATGAGAGTGCCTATACTCGGGTTCCGGATCCCAAGATTGGACTTACCAAGAAGGGAATGCAGGAAGCGGAGGATTGCGGCATTAGAATCAGGGAGATGATCGAGAAAGATGGCGCCCCCGACTGGAAGGTCTACTTTTACGTCTCGCCTTACAAGAGAACTCTTGAGACGTTACAGGGTCTCGGCAAGGCGTTTGAGCCATCCAGGATCGCCGGAGTCAGGGAGGAACCTCGTTTGCGCGAACAGGATTTTGGTATGTAACATGAATTCTCCTACAATTACTGAAATCTCTATCTATACAGACTATGTTTGGAGATTGCAAATTGCAACAAGGAACACATAAACAAGAAAAAGAAACGAAACCCCTTTTTGTCTTAATATATTAATTTTATTGGATTTCTTGCAGAACCCCCCCCCNNCCCCCCATCATTTATTTTATAATCAATTGGGAGCCCCACTAAATTACTCATGACCTGTGCTAACCTAGTTGCTCTTCCAGTTGAAATTCTTGCATGATTCACTTGTCACAGGAATCTTATTCCATGCTCACAAAAAAAGAATTATTCAAGTTGTTAGGCTAACAATTTGGAAATCTTTCATTGTACTTCTCTTTCTAAAATCTTAACTATGTGATGAATTGGTTCCCCATTGAGCAAGTTCATGCAAAGTCTTCCTGAATCCAACAACATGTTGCTTAGAATTAGCTTCTACTTACGTTTTAAGTTTTCTGCTCTACGAAGGGAATTTTCAGGACAGAGAGAAAATGAGGGTTGAAAAAGCTATTCGCGTTCTGTATGGCCGCTTCTTTTATCGCTTTCCTAATGGAGAATCTGCTGCTGATGTTTATGACCGAATAACAGGTAAAGTCGAAGAGTTGTGATGCATGGCCCAATTAGCTAGCTAGATAAAGGATCACTAATGATGGTACAAAGTACATGTTGTGGAAAAATATTTTAACATCTCTGTGTCTCCAGCTAAGGTGCAGAATTTCAAATTTATGGAACGTTTGTGCTGCAGGATTCAGGGAGACCCTTAGAGCAGATATTGACATTGGACGATTTCAACCACCTGGTCAACGGAACCCAAATATGAACTTGGTCATAGTTTCACATGGCCTAACATTGCGAGTTTTCTTGATGAGATGGTACAAATGGACGGTGGAGCAATTTGAAGGCCTCAATAACTTCAGTAATGGAGGCATGATTGTGATGCAAACAGGATATGGTGGAAGGTGATTGTTCCATTTTTCTCCTTTGCCATAGTGGGTACTTTCATATGTAGATTTAGCAATTTCCTTAAGTTCACTTAAAAATTTTGCAGAAATAAGTTAATAGGGTAACTGGTTTACACTTCTATCTTGCTTGAAAAATGCGCAGTATAAAAGGAAAGGGAACTTATCTAATTTAAACACAGAAACCTGATTCTGCAACTTCTAGGAGTGGACAAAATCATTTATGTTACTATACATATTAAGGAACTTGAACCAACTCTACAATCTTTATTTTCTTCTTTACCTTTTGTAGTTCTCTACTGGTAATATTACATGCAGATGACCATATCATTTCTTTGTACACCTTGCATTCTTGTGGATTCATCATTATTTGCTATATATGAGTATAAAATAGCATTAGCAAATTACTATGCTTTCATCATTTGATATTGTTTACTGACCACCACATGTCCCTAGGCATGAGACATATCAAGTTTATTAATTAACTTTGAATGACCAGATACTTGTGGTTCAAAATCTAAATATGAAAATCTGTAAAATTGGATCTTTATGCTTTCTAGAATCAGAACAGATTTTAATGCTCTAGGCTCCTAGAAAAATGATCACAATAAACAATCTAAAAAAAGGAAAACAGAGGGCACAATAAAATTCTCTAGCAATTACAGAGATCTGATGCAACTAGAAACTTGCAAGGCACTGCTTGAGCTAATACTGAAATGGATGGAAACAACAATATGGTTTGCTTCTATAAATTTACCTTCACTTAGCTATTTCTACTCCTTCAATTATAGTTCAACAGCCTTATATATTGGGTGTATTTTTGATTGGATCAAAAAACCCAATCATCAATGAACACTGAACTGGAAATTGTCCCTGAAGAGCTGAAGGTAAGTTAAAATTCTCCTTGTAGCCAATCAGTGGTTCGTGGAATTCCAAGGTCGTACAAACAATCCCAAAATGATACCATCCTAGAAGATATTGTAGTAACACATATGGATGGAAGCCCATCTAGAGGTGTTTGGACGAGTTGAATGTTTTTGACCATGCCTTCAGATGTATTATTTATCCATTGATCATAAGATACTGTATTCAAAGAATAAGTTATTGATTTGGGTAACACTAACCTTGCACATTCACGTGAGCTAGAAGGCATAGAAACAACGAATGAACTGAAACAACCTTACAAATATATTTCATATATGAAAGACATGAAGTCCATATCAATATTATCATACTTTATGAAAGCCAAGTCCTATAAAGTCAAGATAGTGACCAGGGAGGCATACAGGTAAGCTGGACATTTTATGGTTCGGTGTATCTAATTCAATGATCAAATAGTCAAGTACCAAGAGTAGTTGATAGGTAGAATTGCCAGTACTAGGTGAGGACATAATCAGTACAGTAATGCAGTTTGCATTCATCTCTCTCATAAGGGATAGTATATCCTATAATTGATGGCACAGTGAAATGGCTTAAGTTGGCCAAGTAGGAATTCAGAATCTTCTCATAAAAATGACTATTGTACCCAAAATTAACCCTTACATAGGGATTACCAATTTATACCTGGACGCAGCACTATGAACTACATTATGCAATGCATAATGAAACATAATCAACATCATTAACTGCAGTTACCACAGGTACAGCATTAATGTTGGTAAGCCAGGTATATGGTTCTACACTTCTACTAGATAGTGACCTAAATGAGTAAAAAGTCAAAACCCTAGTAGTATTTCTCCATGAAGGATGTAATTCTCATAATAGAATTCCATGTGAGATCATGCAGAGTGAAAAGATCCATTGCCTAGGCTTGCAATTAAACATCCAACACTATTTGGGACTATAACCACATCAAAACTACAAGTATTGGAATTTGAGAAATTATTATTAAGTTTAACCTATGAGAATTGAAACATCAAAACACTGTTAAAATAGAAATTAAGTAAAAAGGATTTTGATCCATTCAATTCAAAGAGTTTGAGTGATGAAAGTGTGAATACAAGTCAAGTGCATGGAATAATTTTGGCATCAAGAATCATGTTTTCCTATCCTGCCCAATCTAGGATAGCACAAATTACACATACATCATCTTTTCTAAAATTACTGATGCATAACATGGGTAATTGGGAATCAGTCCGTGATGCATAGCTTTCATTGATTTGATGTCTTGACACTGTAGCTTACTATATAGTTGGTAATCTTTCCCAGTACCTTGGTTTGATAATTCATTACAAGGGAGAGACCAAGGAGGATGCCAACCATAAAATTAGAGCAAGATGGGTAAAATGGAGGGGTGCGTCTGGAGTCTTATGTCATAGGCAAATATGCAAATACTATTTAGATTAAAAGTAAAATTCTATGAAACAGTTGATATGTTTGGGATAAGGCTTAGATAATGACGAGTAACTGAAAAGAATGGTCACTAGACTTGAGAATGGATTTTAATAATTTTACATTTATTCTTATATCTTCCTACAAGATTTAGGATAGTTAAGTGTATGATAACTGATAACCCATCGATATCCATCATGTCAACAGGTACAGCTTACTAGTACATCACACACCTGAAGAACTGAGGGAGTTTGGTTTGACAGATGAAATGCTAACTGATCAGGAGTGGTACGATGTCATGACCTTCCCTAGAACATCATACTAACAGTAAAAGAGTATAAGTGACTTCACCTCTCCTCTATATGCTGATTGTCCTGTTGATCTTGATCCAGGCAAAAATTTGCAAGACCAGGTGAACTGAATTATGACATTTTGACGACTGGACAATCATTTTTTACACACTTTGATACTGGAAACAATAAAACTTGAAGGCAGAAGATCATGTCCTTGTCAGCAGTGTATTCCTAGCATAAAAGCTTCAAGATGAAACTCGTCACCACATTAACTTGATACATGCAACAATTGCTGATGCAGTTTCCAGGAAAATGACCCCATAATAAAACTCATATGAATTTGAAGACAGAAAGTTATGCAAGATATTGCAGATGAGTGCACAGAAGAAAAACAGATGGATCTGAGAGAAGGATCATTTGCTATTACTATCCCCTTGGAATCCTGCCAATGTTTTTTAATATTTTTTCATTGTTGTGTATATGGGTTAAATGAAAGTTTTGACAGTCCATTTTTGTTACCATAGATTCTCAATTCAATTAGATTAAAAAAAAGATTCCATTTGTAGGCTTCCAACTTGAAAGGGGGGAATTTTGAGGTATTGAATTTCTTGAAAACCTTAAACAGGAATCTGAAGAATGCCCTATCATATTGTAGTCTTTTCTTTTAATTTCATATGAGAATTTGTGGTCCAATTACGCCTAACAAAAGAAATCTCGCACTGTGTATACTGCTAGTAAACTTTTTCCTATGTTTTACTGGAAGGAAATGAAACAAATGACAGATTTTGACAGTCCAATTTCTCTACCATGACTTCTATTAATAGGCCTCTTCCTTCCATGGAGAAAATGTCCCTTTCATTTTTTTGCAAGTATTATACTTGAATACCTTACAATATATGTCTGATGAAACACCCTTTCATTTTGTAAACCGAGTTTCTTCTCAAATAAGAATTGTTAGTCCTTTTTTCATTTCTGTAAATTTTCTAGAATATGCAGTCCACCCCTTCCAATATCTCAGCAGCGAAAAACTCTTATTTGATAAGACTCTTCCAAGGTCTACCTACACATTAACTTTTAGCAGGATGTCTGTTATTTGATTAGCCTCCTAAAGAGCACTGAAAGTAGTACACTCCAAGTATTTAGAGTTCTAGAGGAGAAACTTGAGCAGAGATCATTCAGGAGTGACACTCCTTGACTTTTTTTTTTTTTTTTTTTGATAGATACTCATCAACTCAACCCGGTAACTTATCCATACTAAAACCCATTTTCTTGGGTTTGGTTTGCTGTTTGTAAATTTCAACCTACAAAACCAGGATTTCTTTACCTTTTAATAGTTTTTTTTTATTCTTCATCAAACAACATTTGATCCTTAATCTTAAAATATAATGAATTGTAGTTGAAATCACAAAACTAATCTCTTTATAAACGGGTAAAAAATTTAAGACCTTCATATGGACTTATTTGGGCTTGCCCTTGGGGGCTTTTTTGGGTGCAGAGGATCATTGTCTAGAATTAGGAATGTCAAGGTGTTTAACATTACATTAGCTACCTGAAGTAATGCAGTTTCAAAAAAAAAAAAAAAACTGAAGTAATGCAATTGGGAGAGAAATAAATAAATTAAAAGTTTTACATGCTCGAATAGTTTTATATGTTCTGTTTGATTTTATTTCTACTTTTTCACTCTGAATATGTTATGTTTTTTTATCTGCTATGTTTATGTGCTATAATTTGAACCAATAAGCATTATAAAACAGTTAGTTTCTTTTTAAAATTAAAGTTTGCATTTTTTTCTGGATTAATAAAATTTTTATTCTAATTCTTAATGGTTTTTTAATTTTTAATTGTTTTAAAAAAATTACTGCTAGATTTCTCTAGGAGTCGATATTTTCATGAGTTTGGAATCGCACCAACCACAATAGTGAAGAAATTATTAACTCATAAAAGGATAATATCAGAAGACTGTATTTATGGGTAATGTAAGGCTTGTTTAACATATATTTCGAACTTCAACTCATATGTGACCACAATAGTATTGCTCTTGACCAATAACATATCTTTCAAAGTATTTCAGTGTCCAACATTAACAACCTATCCAACTATATCCTTGAAAATGAGGGTAACATAACTTCCAACTAAAGAAACCTAGCACTATCCTAACTAGATCCTTGTGATCCTCCAAACTCTTACAGATTGGGAAAAAAAAAAACACTAGAGGATTAAACCAGAGAGGTTCGGTGGGAACTTTGTATAAATCTTGTGGCTAAAGTGAGTTCAACAACTAAGCCAATATTTCAGGTTGGACCTGTATAGTCATGGGCTTTGGGCTCCATCCAAGAAACTTTGGGGCTTTGATCACTTCCAAAGCCTTCAATGGGACGTGTTGGGCCGAAGGATATCTTATATGGAGCTGATAGAAGAAGGATTCCACCCCCCTTCCAGCATTTGCCCCTGCATCAAGCATGCATCAGCTAGTGACTTAAATATTAGGACATAGTTAAATAAGTCTTTTCACTCACAGAATTCATGGAAGCTAGTATGGAAACTAACGTATGTCACAAAATATTCTTTGTTAGCCAGGGATTATTATAGGAGAAAATTTGTTAAAAACAATGGTAGGTCAATTAGGAATTGCATCATCAAACATGGCAGAGTTTTAGGCCGCAATGAAGGCCCACGAATTAGCATCCGTAGAGGAATTAAAAAGTACTGAAACTGATTCTGATGCAGTAATCAAGCTGAAGAAAATGGATTGAAGATCTAAGTATTCACATACGTGGAGAAAAGCACACCAGGCAGTATATGAAACACACGGTGGGAACGAGCATTTATCAAAAACAGGTTGGTCCAAGATAAGGATTTAGCAAGGTCAAGATCTATATGAGCAAACCAATGACTGAAGGATACATACTAATTAAGAAAACTCCAACGTCTGGGATAAACAGAGTGATGGTCTTGGCTTGGCTTCCAGTGCAAGTTGGACCTAATGTCAGGTAGTGTTGGTCAAACAAGATGGAGAGACAAGTATGGTTATAATGATTCAGCATCCAACATGAGTTTCAGTACATCTCGGAAATATTCATCAAATGACGAATTGATTTTGAAAAGGATACTCAACTTGGGAAGCTGCCCTGATACGTATTATTGGGGCTCATCCACAATTGTGACAGGAATTTTAGTCTTTACAGGATTAATTCAAATGTCAATAACTGTTAGATTTTAAACTCATTAGACATTAAATCCAATGGGGTTTGATTGATCAATTACATGAGATAAGAAAAAGAAAAAAAAAAAAACTTGCACACATGTCTTGGAAAATAGTTTTTTTTCTCTTGCTAAGGTGGCGTTTGATAAATCTAAAAATTCAGATGTGAAAAGTTAAAAAGATATTAGTGTCTTAAATCTGAAAAGAGTCATAAATGCTTTTCTACTTTTTAGAGGATCTGAATCCAAACCCTTTACCATTTGAAATTTACTGATTTTACTATTTTACCCCTAAAACATACTATTTGGAAATGTTGAATTCAATTTGCATTATCTCATACAAAATACTTTTCAACCTCAAAATAATATTGAAACAATACAAATAAAAAATAATAAAATAATAATTACTAATTAATAAATGAAACAATTAAATTTTAAAAAATAATTAATGACTATAAAAGTATTAAAATAATTAATAATTTACACAAATAAAAATTAATGAAATAATTAAAAATTACTAGTTAATAAAAATAATTAATAATTAATAAATAACACAAGTAAATTTAATAAAAAATAAAAATAATTTATAATTAATATAATAAAAATATTATTATTATTATTCACTGAACCACCGTTGGTGCGTGTTGCAGTGGCGGTGGGAGAGAGAGAGAGAGAGGGGGGATAGGGGGAGAGAGCGAGAGAGAGAAGACAAGGGGAGAGAGATAACCCCCGCTGCAAGTGGTAGTGGTGGGAAGACAAGGGAGAGAAGACAGGAGGAGAGAGAGAGCCGTCACTTGCACCGGCGGTGGTGGGAATACAGGGCAAAGAGAGAAAGAGCGAGAGCAAGAAAAGACAAGGGGAGAGAGAGAGAGCGAGAGCGAGAGAGAGAAGACAGGGGGATATATATATATATAAGAGAGAGAGAGAGAGAGAGAAAGAGAGAGAGAGATTGCAAGTTGCAACGGTGGTGGCAGGAAGATAGGGTGAAGAGAGAGACCGAGAGAGAGAGAGGTCGAGTGTTTAGGTTTTCTAGGTTTGGGGTTATCAGGGGTAACTCACATCATTTCCAAAATATTGTAAGGATATTTTGGACCATGCACCAGCTCTGAAACTCGTTTGAGCGCATTAAGAGCCAACCCAAGGTCTATTATTTTCAAATCTGAAAATAGGATTCAAACCAATTTTAAGAGGTAAAACCAAACAAGGGGTGAGGTTTGAAAAGTAGTATTTTCATATTCAGACCTCTGAAAAGTGCAATCAAACGACCCCTAAAACTAATTTTCAACTTGCCCCACGTTGGAAAATTACAAAACTGTTTTTAAATAAGAGCTTATTTACACTCCTCGGAAATAAAGAGAGTATGGAGGCTTGCTACCGCACAATGCGCATGTACACGTGTGTGCGGCGCAATGAGGTGCTTCAGAGGCGCACTTTGCTCTCACTTGATGCAAGAAGGCTTTGACCTTTGGTGCAAGGCTGACCATTGATTCAACAGTCACGATTCGATCAGGTGTGATCAAGAGGCAATGTTCAAAATTAACAATCATTAACTGTTAATTACCTTTTTAACAGACAACATTGTGACTGTTCAATGAGCCCTTTCTAAACCAGCACCTTCCTCTTGCTCCATGACTCTTTAGAAATTATTTAAGAAGTGTGAATAAAGAAGCATTTGAACACAAGTTTTCAAAAAACACTCTTCTTGTCTCTCTCAGTTCAATCTACTACTGTCTCAAAGAATGTTTCTTCAGAGACTCTTTAATTTTGCTGGTTGCAGATTCTTGCCTAAGGCTCTATTGTATCCTGGGAACGGATTTGCCTGTAACACAACAACAAACTCAATAAAACTGAGTGGGGGCAAATAACATTCTAAAGACAGAGTCTTTAGACACGCCTCAAAGCGCTTCTCCTCCAAGTTTCTGTGACCCTATTTTTCCAACAATAACCAAAACAGGTGTGCTTGAAACCATCATCTTATCAGTATCTACTTGAAACCATTATGGATGGAATCAAGTAGTAAATATAAGCCCAAAAAAAAGGATAAATCTCTTAAATTACTCTTGAGTTTTGCGAATTTGACCAAATATACCCCTATTGTCTTACAAGTACGACAATTGATATTTCAGTCCATTAAGTCACAATGAAAAGGACGAAATATCACATTTACCTCTGAGCTATATTAGAGAAGAAAAACCTTCATGCCGCTGCCACTATTTCCCAAGAGAGGACCGACTCAAACATTCTCTCCAGTTTATTTGACTAATCTTCAATCTTCACCTGGGTAGGAGTAGGATTGTTGTGCATGCAATCAAGCTGATGAGATGTGCGGCAAGATTCATCTATCTCAGTGCTTAAGCAAATCTAGTTGTTGGATCCTATAGTCATGGTGAGTTGCAAACCGGAGCAAATCCACCGAGCTTTCCCTAT